AAAGGTTTTGTTTTAGAAATCTGCCTTTCTAATAGTCTCCTATGTTTCTGCTTGGGGGGCAGGGAAACTGGGGCTGGTTTATGCCTCCCTTAAGATTTTTCCCCCAAAATTCCTCCTTTAGTGAAATATAATATTCTGGTTTTTTTTAAAGCAGGGGGGGGGGGAGCTTCCCACAAACCTGTTGTAAATCGAGGGCTACCTGGAAATAATCCCAGGAGACTTCAAAAGCCAGCTCGACCACTCCCAGCGCTGGGGAGGGGGAGTAATCCGACCCCATTCGACCCTCTCTACGTAGCCCCGGGTGACTCCCTGCCAAAGCCCACTCCCACACCTTCTCGGCTTGGCAACCCCAATCAAAGGCGGGAGCTCCCTTCTGCCGGTTCGAGACCCCCTGAATATCATAAGTGAAATAAATAAGATCGAGCGACCAAGGGCCGCTCCGTTTCCTTCCGAGGGGCCCCGAGGGAAGCAGGCAGGCAGGCAGGAAGCCGAGTCCTGCCCGGGGTTGAGGCTGGCACCTGGCTTTCAGACCAACGGGCTTCGCAAGGAGCGATCCGGCCCCACAGGCCAGCCGCCTCCGCTGCAGAGCATTTGGGAATGCCTCGCACGTAGCCTCCGGCAGGAACTTTCCACGCGCCTTCGGGGGGCCAACCTGAATCATTGGGGAAGGAAAGCTCCCAAGCGGAGCTGGGGAGAGAGAGAGAGAGAAGGAGGGAGGGGGGGGTCTCGCCTACACCTCGCCCCCTCCCCACCCTCCTCCATCACCCCCCTCCACGCTGCGCCCACCCACCCCAGACGCCCGGTTCTTGCCTTTTGACAGGAGAGACCCCACCCTGAAGACACGCGCGTAGAAGGCACGCCCAGAGCAGCCGTGGGGAACCCAACCTCTCGGGAGAAGAAGGAGTTGGGGAAGGGCGGGGGGGGGGCTGAGAAATGCCTCGCGGAGGAAGATGAACCCCGAAGATGGTCTGGCGGCTGGGCGGGGGTGAGCCGAGTCCCCGGCTTCGCTGGCGGGTCGCAGCCGGATCGACGTGGAGACCTTGAAACTTCGACCGGGGGGTCCCGAGAGGAGGCGAAGGGGGGCTGCGCGCTCAGGATGTCTGGCTGGAACGGGGGTGAGTGGGCAGGTGGCGGGGGGAGGTGTTTAGAGGGAGAGGCTGGAGGGCCTGATGATGGGCCAGGAAGGGGAAAGAGTGATGGTCGGCTTGGGGGTCGCTCATCACAACCCCGCTCCACGCAACAGGATGCCCCGACTTTGCTTTGCGTGGATTGCGTTGGGTTTTTTCCCCACCCGGGATGCTAAACCCAGAATTGGTGGCTGTTTTCATCGTTTGCTGCTTCTGTGTCTGGTTATGGCCAGGTGAGGTCTTGACAGCAGTGCTGGAGAAGGGAGGGGAGGGAGGGACGGCTTGCCATGAGCAGATCCCAAAGCTCGGGGGTGGGTGGGGGTGGGGGGTAGCTCAGGTAAATATTTGCCATTTTAAAAAAAAAGACAGCTGCCGGCATCTACCGTGGGCGCCCCGATCCGGAGAGATTTAACCCCCCGTCGCCTCGCCGGGGTTACTGGAAAACAGTGGCGGTTTCCATGAGGCTTCCCCATGTGGGTGCAGGCACAACTGCAGCATTTGTGATAGCCTTGATCCCAGGAGGGGAATCGGTTGAAGTGGGAATCAACAATTGGTTTGTTTTTTTTCCCCCTGCCTTGTGATTATGGCATCCACTGGTTTGTTCATAGGCTGATTTAGGCTGAAGTCCAAGGTACAACGATATGGCTTGATCGTTGGATGTCATCTCCCCAAAATACTGGGCAAAATAATTCAGGACATTAAAAGTTCAAGAATTGCTTCCTGTTAATAGATGGTTTTCTATGGTCTTTGTTAGGGACGGAGTGGCTAAGATGCTGAGCTTGTTGATCAGAAAGGTCGGCGGTTCAGCGGTTCGAATCCCTAGCGCCGCATAACGGAGTGAGCTCCTGTTACTTGTCCCAGCTTCTGCCACCCTAGCAGTTCGAAAGCACGTAAAAATGCAAGTAGAAAAATAGGGACCACCTTTGGTGGGAAGGGAACAGCATTCCGTGCGCCTTCGGTGTCCATTCATGCCAGCCACATGACCACAGAGACATATTTGCACAGTGTTGGCTCTTTGGCTTTGAAATGGAGATGAGCACCGCCCCCTAGAACCAGGAACGACTAGCACATATGGGCGAGGGGGATCTTTACCTTTACCTATGGTCTTTGTTGGGTGAAGAAGCCCAAAAGTTGGCATTGGGTTGACCTTGTCTTGGCTCAGAAGCTAAGCAGGACCAGGCTTGGTTAGTATCTTGGAAGGGAGACCTGCCAAAATTTTAGGATGGTTAACTAGATTGAGGATCCTGAGAGGTGCCAATGCCAAATCATTTTGGGAATGGTGTTATGAAAACAACACAAATATGTTGCCTGATTGGCATTGTCGAAATTGACCTGGACTTAAAGGAGATTTCCGCTGCTTAGAACTTACGGCACAACAGCTGCTTAGTGCATTTCCTTGAAGACACAGTGGCTATTTACAGTGTAACAACAGGAAACAAAACAGAGAATGTAGCTGCTGTTGGATCTTAACTTTTCTTCAGAGAAACAATGCTAATTCGTTCCATGCAATAGGTGGAGAATTGTTGTTCATTTCTTGCTGTAAAGCAAAACATCATTTCTACATTAGCATCTGGGTTGTGGCAAATATTGCATTGCTCCAAGCCCAGTGGTCTGCTATTGGGAAAACATGATTTGCTCACCAGGAAATGTCTTGCTTGGACTGTCCAGAATTGTGGTGAAGAATCCTAACTGCCTGATGGTGTCCATGCTCAGGCTTTGCAATCTTGTGTAATTCCCACCGTGTTTTAGTGGGGTTCGTATCCCAATAACCATGCTTGGCCTTTGGGCCTTGAAGATGTGTTGTATGCATCACAGCACAGTAGCTCTGCATGTTTCAATTTAAGGAGACTGACTTCTTAAGCATGAAAGCCCGTGGGGTAACTTTGGACCAGTCACTCCCTCTGTCCAACCCACCTCACAGGGCTGTTGTGGTAGGGGAAATAGGAGGCAGGAGTAGGTATGTTCATCACTTTCAGAGAGAGGAGGGGGAGAGAGAGAGAGGATAGTCAGGTAGATGATGGATGATGGATGGGTGGGTGGATGGATGGATGGATGGATGGAGAACATGATGGGTGGGTGGATGGATGGATGACAAACAGACAGACAGATAGATAGAGAACAGGATTGATGGATGGATGGATGGATGGATGGATGGATGGATAGATAGATAGATAGATAGATGATAGATAGATAGATAGATAGATAGATAGATAGATAGA